CGATTGCAAGAATCTACATATAACCTCCTCCCTGGGGGATGGACAACAGAAAAGTGGGTGAAGGGAGACATCAGACAGTATAAGACATGACAAAATAATAATAATTTATAAATTATAAAAGGTTTATGAGGAAGGGGGAGCGGGGAGGGAGGGGAAAATGAGCTGATACCAAGGGCTCAAGTAGAAAGCAAATGTTTTGAGAATGATGATGGCAACAATAACTGTACAAAAGTGCTCGACACAATGGATGGATGGATGGATGGATGGATGGGTTGTGATAAGAGTTTTACGAGCCCCCAATAAAATGATTTTTTTTTAATGCTGAAAAACTCAGCTTATAACACGAGTTTCTCTCTCCCTCTCTCCCTCTCTATGTATATATGAAAAAGAGAGAGAGAGAGGAGTGAAAGTTAAAAGCAACAGAGGGAAGTACTACTTTATAAACAATCCTGTCTGCCTCTCAGATAGGCGTGACATATGTTTTCCTGTGATGCTGGTATTTCACATAGCAGTAACGTCACCGCTAGTGAACAGGTTGAACAGGAGCGTTCAAACTAAGAACAGACTAGGATGAAAGAATTGACTGTCCACTGTCCGTACATCTGAGGGGTTAGTCACTGAGAACTTCATATAGCAGGGAACTTGGGCTGCTATCATGCTGAGATAGGAAGCCCTCAAAACATGAATAGGGAAGGTTTTTCTTCGCAAAGTGGAGTCAATTTTTTTTTTAAGATTTAGTGCCACTTCATCCACATATCATACAATTCCGTAGTTCAGCCATATCAGGAAGAGTTGGACAACCATTACCACAATCAATCCTAGAATATTTTCTTCCTTGCACCCCTTGCTATTACTGTAATTATTATGTTTTTAATTGTGGCAAAATATGCAGAACAAAACAGTTTCCAATTCAACAACGTCTACATGTAGAATTCAGTGCCATTGATTACACTCTTCATGTTGTACAGCCATTATTGATAGCCTTTTCCAAATTATTCCACCACCATTAGCATAAACTTAATGACCCTTAAGCAAAAACTCTTCCTTCTTCTCCCATGGTAACCATTGGTCAACTTTGTATTTTCTTTTTTGTTTTTCAGTAGTTTTCTTGATAATATTCCCATATCATACACTTCTAATACACTTTCATACTCGGCTCTTTTCAAAAGAGTTGCACACACATCATCACAATCCGTTCTAGTGCTTCCTCCTCACTCCTGAATTCATTGTTTGCTCCCCAATCCCCCTCACTCTCCCCACCTCCAGGCCTTGATAAACCATTCCGTCAGTTATTGTCTCTATGTATCCACTCCAGTGCTTCATAAACTAGGAAACCCAACAGAAACAATAAAAAACAAAATGAAACATATAGAAGAAAATAATAATATAAAGATAAAAATAAAGAGTAAGAAAGAAAAGATGATCAACACTGTTTAAACAGAAGAAATTTCCGTTGTGAACAAGTGAGAAATATTTGAGTCTAAAGCAAATTTTGGGAGGTCAATCTCCCAAATATCATATAATGCCATGGTTCAGTCACTATAATCAAGTTTACAATAAACTCTGTCTGATAGCAAAGGGTCCCATGCATGTGGCCAGAACCATGTGCTAGAGCAGTGGTTCTCAACCTTCTTAATGCCGTGACCCTTTAATATAGTTCCTCATGTTGTAGTGACCCCCAACCATAAGGTTATTTTTGTTGCTACTTCATAACTATAATTTTGCTACTGTTATGAATTGTAATATAAATATCTGATATGCAGGCTGTATCAGGCGACCCCTTTGAAAGGGTCATTTGACCCCAAAGGGGTCAAGACCCACAAGTTGAGAACCGCTGTGCTAGAGGCTCAATCTGACTAGATACTCTGCAGAAGGATTTGGGCTCCCACTGTCCTCCATAGCTTTCTATAAATTGGGGGTTCATAATTTAAGCTCTGGTACTTTTCCCTCCATCATATTTGGATTTTATTATTGTCATCTTTGGATCACACAGGCTTCTTCCATGTGGACTTAGTTGATGCCTCACTTAGATGGCTGCTTGTTTGAAGCCTTTAAGACCCAGTGGGGAACATCTACTTTCTTCACACTTTCTGTAGCACCTTATTTTCAGTGGTCTCTTCATGAAGGCGAGCATTGAGCAGGGCCCTGTTATAAGAACGGACTGTTCTTGGATTTGGGCTAGAATTACATGGGAGCCCAGAATCCATCTGCTTCTCCACGAGTTATGAGTGACTCTGGCCTACTTCTACAGTCATATTATGACAAAAACCACCAACAACAAAAACAAAAGAAAAATGAAAAACATTGTCAATCGT